ATCATTCAAGTCCTGCCTTCAACAAGAACGTCAGCTTGGAGGCACGGAACATCGGAGCTTTCAGGCCACCGTCTTTACTCTGCTCTGTCAGCATCCTCGGAGTCTTGTGACATCGCACACCGCATGGTGAGTCTACCTGTCCTGTTTTGGAGTATCCATAGTCGTTTCATGTTCAGCCCATCCCTGGCCCAAGGGATTTCTTGGTCAAGATGCTTGATGACCAAGCCCAGCTGGGAAAGACTCCTGCCAGCTCGATGGCGGCTTGCCACCGCCAGCCGTGAGAAGAATGCAGAGAAGAACAAAATTGGGCAACATTGATCATTGATGATTGATGATTGTTGATAGAATGATGTGACAATATGTTGCTGGTCTTCAGCCGCTGCACGAGTTTCGCTTGGTGCGGTCAAGTTGCTGGTTGATGGCGCAGCCCTCCTTGAGCCTCTCATGCTCAGTCTGAGCCTTCAAGCAAAGTCAAACTCCACTCGTGCTTCTGGGTGCACTTGACTGAACCTACAAGGTTGGATAGTGAAGAACTGAGCAAAGTGCTTTGGATGTTCTCTCACTGCCAGCCAAATCGATGAGGTTAATCTTGGCCTTAAGGCATCACAACCAGTCCTGTTTTCAAGGAGCCTCCTTCCAATCATCGGCATTTTTACGATCAATACTACCACTATATACTCAACCCAGCCAAGGTGCATTCAAGGATTTGCGTTCATCTTTCTTTTTGCCTGTCGGCCGCTCCCCTTCAAGGCGGTTGACGACGATGGTAAAAACTGCCTCAGCACAGCACGACGGGAAGAATGAGCTTTGATGCTAGCCGCTGCTAGCCCTTATGTCATATGTTCAGGACCTGCATTGATTGCGGCATGTTACTCAGCTGCGCCAAGTGGCATGTGAGCGGGATGAATTTTGATTCATATTTGTTGCGGCAATGGTACGCATCTTCAAGCCATACTCCAGGTTGCCTAAACGAAACTCCGGCTTGCCCAAGTTTTCTGAGCAAGGTGTGGATATAGCCGCTGTAGCCCGTCTCAGAGTTCAAAATAATCAAGTACAAGACAAGTGCTTGCCAAGCTTCTCATCACATCCTGCTGGGTTTCACAGGGCATCAGTTTCAAGCCTTTCACGTAGACCCCAACGTTCGGATGTTCCTTGCATATGCAAACACTAGCAAACAAAGCAAACAAATCATAACTCAAACTTGCCGGGTTAACATGACTCATTCATAATCATTTATCCTTCTCTCTTCCCTCCCTCTCGCCCGGGCACTCTAAAGGGCCCTAAAGTCTATCTCACAATTATCTTGTGGACCCGACAGCCGACAGCTTGCAAGAATTGAGAGGTCAAAGTGTGTGAAAGTCCTATCCAGCCAGGTGGAGCAATGTGGCCGCAAGAGCAGGATGACCGCCACCAGCAGCAGCAGCAGCAGCAGCTGTTAACTCAATTGCCTTCAGCAGCTACCAGTATACAACTGAACATTTCGACGACAACTGGGAACACCTATCGCATCGGAAATCAGCCGAGAACACGGCATTTGCACGGGAGACAGCAGCGATCAAATCATCACAGCGGCGAAGTTGTGATCAGCACGAGGCTTCGAGGCTTTAGAATTGGAAAAGTAAAAGACGCAATAGCTTGCAGCTATTTGGGAAACAAGCCTTGAGTGCCTTCAACAGCAGCTGAATTCTGCAGATGAGGTTCCATGATCTTCAAGTTCTCACCCTGGTGGATTCAGCAAAAACAGCTTCCACAAGAACACTACCCTTTGCATCCCCTTGCCATATCAGCGGCCAAGTGCAATTTGCGCGCCTTCGAATTGCGGGAGTTCAATGCTGCAAAAAGGTCTGTGACTTGCTCCTGCTCAACTATTTGGCGCGGAACCTTTCAATCCTTGGACCCAAAGGGGGACATTTGGTAGCATCAAACACTCAATGTCAAGGAGTACGGAACATTGAGGCAAGTCTAAGTGTCATGGTCCCTTATTAAATCTAGATCGAATGCCTTTGATCATGGCTTAGACCCATGCTTTCAAAAAATGAATAGAATAGAATAGAATAGAATCCCGCTCAGGTCCTTGTAGATCTCCAAATAAGAAATTCGCACCTGGGACGACTACCCCGAACAGTTCGAGCAAAGCAGGCCATGTTCAAAATCTGAAGGTCTAAACCCAAAGGCCTGCAGTTCCTGTGAGGACTCCTTTTCTAACCTCTCCTGAGCAAGCCAGACATGCGTAGGCAGTTGGACGGCTTCCATAGAAAAAAGTCGTGAGAAAATGTGTCACTTGACATACTTTGGTGCAGTAAGATTCCGACTCCGCAATGAATGGATCTTGTGGGGAGTGTCTGCACTTCTGAGGACTTTTACACAATTGTATAACAACGTTCTCTCCTCTTTAAGATGAGGTTATATATAAGCCAAGAATCCTTTTCCGCAAAAAGACCATCGATCATGCGAGGAATGACGCCTGATGTAAGGCAATCATAAGATTCGGAAATCGTAGCCTCGATGAAAGAAGCAAAAAAAGAAAAGGATGGTGGACTTGGGCCCCTTTATTGATAAGGCCTTGTTTTCCACCTCCTTGTTGTCCTTTTTTCCGCTTCTTGCCTCCGTCTTCCTCTTCTTGACCTCCCCCCATCATCGTATAGCTCTTGCCGCCTGCGTTTGCGCCAAACAAGAACTGAACTGACGGAACAGTCGTAGGTTTCTCTTCGAAAAGACTTCAAGCGGAGCAGCTTGTCGGCTGACCCCTGAGCCGAGGACTACCTGTTTGCCCATAGGCGAACAGGGTACAATTGAAGCCGTCGATGGCATTCCTTGAATGATTGCCACAAACACGGCGGCCACCACATCATTCACGAGGCTTATGAATTCTTGGCAAACGCGTAATCAACATCAAGCTGCGAAAGCATCGAGTTGCCGATGTCTTCAAAAATCTCCGTTTGGCTTCCTTCGCCTGATTGGACGGACCAGTACCTTGGTTTGCATCTGAAGCACACTGAAGTATGACTGAAGAGGCCATCAATTATCAAGGCCAATCAATTCTCCAGCTCTGCTGAAGGCAAATCGATTGAATTTCATGGTGGCCCAAGTACGTGTAGTCATAGGTGAAGTGCTTTGGGTTCCTGCCGGAAGCTTCCTCACATCTTTCTTATATAACTATATATATATAATAACGGTGTCTTTCCTCTAGAGTTTGTGCATAGTTAAATAGTTGTGGGCAAGTTGAGAATGAATACCATGTCGTCCAATTGGTTCATTAGGGCTAGATTCAACGTAGTTTTGACTGGAATGTAATACTCGGTCCTCTCAGAAAGCATCGTGACTGTTTTCCCGCTCATTGAAACCTTGCAATGGAACACAACTTGGCAAAGGAATAGGCAGCTCACAGTGACCGGCGATCTGCATGTTTGGTACAAAATTGTGCGATGTCTTTGACAAAAGATGACAAAAGCTTCTGGGCCAAGCCACACAAATATCGCATTCCAGTTTCTTCTCCCGCTGGTTCAACGGCCTTGCCCTGACGGCCACCTTGTGCAAAGCTCCATGCAACCACGATCTCAAGAACAGCTGCAGTTCTGTGCATGTGCTGTCGGACAGGCCGCCTTGATGCTCTCTTCGGTGCCCGGCATCCCGGCCGAAATCCGCTTGGCGGAGGGAGAGCCCCACCACCTCCCAAGCATGCCCAGTAGACCCCCGATCAAACATGTGACAAAATTAAAAATCCACTACAACTCAGGAAGAGAAAGACACGAAAGGCAGGTAGGAAAGCTGAAAGGTGCACGGGGGGGAACCACAAGGCGCGTATGATTTGGATCCACTTCGGGGCGAAGCAGGGGGGGTCTGTATTGAAATATCAATGCCCGGGGGGGAGGCCTGAAATATCAAATCCAAGCGGCTTGGTGTAAACGGTGGTTGGTGTAAACCGTGCTTCGGTGTAAACGGTGGTTGGTGTAAAGCGTTTTTGTTGTAAGCAGCCGTTGTTCGGTGTGAGCGGCTGCTGGTGCAAACCGCGGTGAACTGTAAACTGTGGTTGGTGTAAGCCATGGTTTTGTGTAAGCAGTGGTGGGTGTAAGCTGCGGTTTGATGTAAACGGTGGTGGGTGTAAGCCGTGGTTTGTTGTCAACGGCGGTGCGTGTAGAACGTGACTTGGCGTCAACGATGGTTGGTGTAAACTGCGCAGGGGCTGGTGTAAAACGTGGTTTGGTGTAAGCGGTGGTCGGTGTAAAACGTTGTTTCAGATCTAAATCCGGTGCGCTGCAGTGGATGCGCTGCGCAAATGCATATCTGAGCCGTTGTCCAAGACTTTGTTGACTCGCGGGCCGCGTTGCCGAGTGTTCTCGCAGACCAAATGACCTGCTCCAAATAAGAAGGGGTGACACGAAGTGCAATGCAGTGGAGCTCCCTCGGAAAGAAAACTGTCTCGAGTGGTCTGAAGGATGAGTGCAAACGCTAGCTCTGTCAAGTGCAGCGACACGCACGAAAGCAAACGGCTGTTTTACCAGGCTTGAGCCAAATACGTCAGTCATTAATATACATAAGAGGTGAGAGCTGACAGGGGTTAGTAGGAAGCAAAAGCAAACACAAGGGGTGGGGGGGTCTTATTGGAAAATCAATTGGACGGGGCCGGGGGGGGTGAATTGAACTATAAATTATTAGACCCGGAGGAGCCCACACTTGCCTCGCAAGACAAACTCAAGAAAATCCCCCTGAGGGCTACCTTTCGTGAAAAGGACAACTGCGACATGTTTAGAGCCCCCAGAGGCCTCAAAGGTGTCAATTCCTGCCTACGGCACCCGCTGAAAGTGATCTGGATGTGCCAAAGGCCGCCGCATTGTGCCACTGGCTTTGAGCCAAATTGCTTCAACACTACGCGTGTGGAACACATCTGAGACGGACACACTTCCGAAAGGATGTGGCATGGTCAAATACTCAAAGCCGCCTAGCAGGTTTTAGCTGAACTCTGGCAAGATGGTGCAAGTGCAACCTTCCAAATCTAGCACCTGGCTCAGCGCTGTCAGGAGAAAACCGATCGCAGCTGCAGTGGTAGCAGCCAACGTCTCCATGCCTTCACCTGCAGCACTTGCCCGTTTGCCGGGGGATGGCTGCTAGAGGCAATCTGGTTCCCCTTGCCCTCAAAGGTCACTCTGTGAGCCGATTCTGTTTATTCGTATTCGTGCCTGCCTTGCTCAATTTTGCGTGCGGGACGCGTCAATGCCTGTAGGTCTGCCACGTCCCAGGCAGAAGCGGAAGCTCCATGGCAGCGCAAAAAGGGTGGTCGGTGGTCAGTCATTCAAATAACTTACAATGAAACACAACTCACCTCCAACATACCCGGCAAGGCCAAGTAGTTGACCCCATGCCTGCAGCATGCTTTCTGTACTTGATTGGAATCGTATGTTTATCAGCCACGTTGCCTCAGAACGTCAGCCAGAAGCACCAAGGATGTGTAGCAGCGAAAGCTGTGCACCTCGCCACTTGGCAAGGCTCTGGGGCGTTCTGCGCCACAAGCGCCCAACGTTCACTCGTAGACATACGGAGCACTGAAGCATTCGATTTCTGCAACAGCATGACACTTTGAGCATAGGCCCTCCTAGGGAATGGGCAAGGTCGATGGCTCGTAGCAGGCCAACGCAACGCCGCACAATCTGCCCCTAGGCTTGTGCAAGAATCGTCACGTGATAAAAAGGTTTCAAGGGCCAAAGTTGAATGCAATCATAATCATAATTGGTCAGGATATTGAAATATAAATTGGTAGGACTTGCACAAGCGCGAACTGCATTGGCAATTCTTCAGGCTTGACAAAGGAATCCAGGTCGTTCGGCTCAATTCTCGTTGCGACATGCAATGATATCAAAGTGGAAAAATTCGGAACACGTCCAAAACAAAACCAAGGACCTGGCAAAAGTTGGGAAGATGCTCGGAGAAGAAGCAGACATAGCCTAGAAGAAGGGCCAAAACAAACAAGTGTAATATTTGAGAGTACGAACTGGCTGTTCGGCTAAGGCAGCCGCATGAGCAACAAAATATCCGGATCAAAGTACAAACATGCAGCGCTCAACGAGGAACATGCGCTGTCGAATTGAAAGGGGGAAAGGCTGAATAGAACTTGACCTGCGTCCGTCCGTTGTTTCCAAGTGTTCTGAGCACAAGTGCCATACAATTGAGCTGTAAAGAACCAAACGCGGGCCAAAATGCAGGAAGCTCGGCTCGCAGGGCTAAACTAGATGCAAAACAACACAATCAAAACCTGTGTTTAAAGTACGTCACATCTCCCTGTCTGCTGTTGTTCTAGACCGTCCATTGTGCCGGGTGCGTGCAAGGACTTTGGTGCAAGAATCAAGGAGCAAAGCCTAGCACGATAACATTGCCCCAACTAGACAAAACAACGTATATTCATGTATATTCCCTATGCTCCCAAGGCTTCCTACTTGCCACTGTCACACCCTCAGGAAGGACAAATATAGAAAAATGGTGCAGTGTGAACCCTCCAGTGCGGTGGTTTACTACCTGCTGCTTTTTCCAACAACTGGATTAAGAAGCTGGAAGTAGCAACATATTCGCGCAACAGCATCCAACTTCCAGCAAACTGGGAAGGCATCTTAGATGGCAAACAAGGCCCCAGTCCCCAGTGACCAAACACAAATGTGCCAAGCAAAGGTTAAGAATGACACATCACACATCACTTTGGGTTGCATTGCAGTACCACCCTTTTTTGCTGAGTATGCATTGATGCAGGTGCAAAGGCAAAAAGAAAAACGCATAAAGAAGTTGAGCTCCTTTGTGCCACGGTGGGCACATCACAGCCGCGCTAAAAAGAGCCCTCTCAGCTACAACCGTGAAGCCTCAGCAAGGGCCAAGGCCACCAATGGCTGCCATCTTGCCACATGATGGAGCCGTTTGCAAAGAAAAGAGGAACAGGCCATGGCGTGCTGCTTGTGCTGCCAGTGAATAAACAGAATATCGAAACCTGCAAGGAGACAGCTCAGTTGAGCACATTCTCAGACCTTGTCTTGGGCTCCCAGACCTGAAACATGTGCAGAAGTGTGCAGATCACATACCCCGCAAGCTTCTGTGAAGGTGGTGCAGCCATGATCCCACCAAAAAGACCATTTATATATATATATATAACATCCTGATATAAATAACATCCCGAGTGACTCCGCAGACGTCAATCACTTGGCTTCTCAGCATCTTTCAGTGACCCCACATTTGCTTCCATGCGTCTCATTGGCTTTCTTTGGCCGAAGCTTCATTATGTGAGACTTGCACTGGAAGTGCTGCATCAGGGAGAGCGCAAAGCGTGTGAAAATTGTGAGCATAATGAGATCTTGTTGTTTCTTCGCTTGAATAACATTCTTGTCCTTTCAGCACACTCTGCCACACAACACAGGGCTAGGCACCATGGCCAGGCAATGCCCTTGCTAATTACGTTCCAAATGGGTGCCCAACCTTCCAGGCAATGCCTTGCTTGAAAATCACACTGGACTCTTGAGGGCGAGGCGAGGGTCCTGGCGTCTATTCAGGGCATGTCACAGCATGGTTTGCTGCACCGAAGCGTTTGGCCTGAAACGTTGGACAAAACAAAGGACCAAGCGGAAGCCTCAACCTGCCTCAAAGCCCAAAAGTTTGCAGAATATGGATGCCTTCGACACTGGACCTGAGAACCCCGCACCGGGGGCAAGGTGCGTTTTTCTGATTGCTATGAACACCAGATTCATCTCAAAAGTACATTGAACATCGGACACATAGTTGTTTGCACGAATTGCCAGGGTGCTTTTCCGAGTAGCAGCACACTGCAGTTCCCCCAGGCGAGTCAAATTCTCACAAAGCTGCTCCCGCCTTTCACAGCAATAAATGCAACTAAAGAGTGCAGAGACGTGTTCACTCTGTGCTCTGGTGGGAACGAATCCCCATGTTTGTCTGGTTGTTGTTGGCAGCAACTAAAACAGCCACCCAACATAGTTGTCACATGTTGTTGGACTTGTTTCACTAAAGTCTGGGATTGCCTGCGCTTGGTGTTTTTGAGGGTGTTGTTCTGGGTGGGGGCGTCAAGCTGCAGTCCTAGTTGCTAGGGCCCGGTAGGGGCAACAACACCTTTTGAGCGCGGTGGGGGGAAAAACATGAAGCTCGACTCCTATAAAATGTACATATAATTGCTTTTGCTGTTGTCGTGTTAGTATTCGCCCTCGTTGTAATCATTGTCCTCATAGTAGTCGTCGTCGTCGCCGTCGCCGTCGTCGTCGCCGCCGATGTAGGAGTAGGAGTAGGAGTATAGGAGTAGGAGTAGGAGTAGGAGTAGGAGGCGTCGTCGGAGGAGGAGGAGCAGCAGCAGCAGCAGTAGCAGTAGCCGTCGTCGTCGTGGTCGTAGGAATAGTAGTAGGGTAATAGCAGCTTACGGCGTATACTACTGCTCCCACTAGCACCCATACTTACGATCCTTACAACGGAAAGACGGACTAGCGCATACTAGCGCTTTACATCGCTATAGGCTGCGACGACGACGACGACGACGACGACGACGACGACAACAGCGACGGCAGCTCTTCCTATACTGCTACTGCTGCTGCTGCTACTACTACTACTACTGCTCCTCCTGCTGCTGCTGCTGCCGCCGCTGCCGCTGCTGCCACCACCGCCGGCGCCGCCGCCACCGCTGCTGCCGCTGCTCCTCCTTCTCTTCCTACACTACGACTACGACTGCTATACGACTACTATATGACTACTACGAAAACGACTACTGCGACTACGACTGCGATCACGACTGCTACGACTCACGGGCAGCAAAAAACCTGTGGTCATTGTCCCGCGGCATGGCGAAGAGCCACGCAAAACCTTTCAGTCACACCCTCTTTGAGTTCACAAATATGCTCACAAAGATAGAATTATTTCAAGCGATGCATTCATAAGAAAATTCCAGCAGATGTGCAGTAAAGATAATGAAGTACACAAGTCAGCATGAAGAAACGCTCAAGTAAATGTGCATGAGACAAGACAAATACTCATCACACCTGAATTCATAAACAAAAAGGGCCAAAAACATGTCAAAATTATCCTAACCAAAGGCCATAGAAAAAATATGAAAAAATTAGGTACCATTAGGTACCTAAGTAATTTAACTCAGATACCTATATAAGTACAGTAATTTAAATTAGGTAGGTACGTAACTTAAATTAGGTAGGTTGGTAAAATTAAGTGGATTAGATTAGTAAAAAATGCTTATAATATAAGTAGAAAATACAGATTAGTGGCATCTAATTTACTAAAATACGTATTTTTGACGGCGAGTAAAAATACTAATATTTTAGACTCAGAGTATGACTACGACTACGACTACTGCGACTGACTACGACGACTACGACGACTACAGCCAGTACTTGTACAAAATGGCACTTGCTTGTTGGCTTGTTGTTGTGGAGGGGGATCAAACGAAGAACAATAGTGGGGCTGCAGTTTTAGTTGCTAGGAGGGGGTAGACACACCGTAAGATGTGTATTGACGGGGCTGCAGTTTTTGTTTGTACCTTGGCGTTGTTGTTCTTGTCGTTGCAAGCCAGGGCGCATCAGTTTGTAGCCAGAAGCTGACCGACTCATCTGTCTGCCAATGGATGCCTTCGCACTGGAGCTGCCCAATCTCCACAAACCTGCTCATGTCGTTCAACTGTTGATATGATGTAACCAAATATTGGACATATGGCCTTCCAAGCCTAGAGCTCCGCTTGAAGATGCCATCCTTACAGGCCATTTGAAGAAAATGGCCCCGCAAAAAAATAGATGGTAGAAGGCATTCTTCCCTGCATGTTGCTGCTGAGAAACTCCTCTGTTTCATTCTGCGCGTCCTGCAGAGCTACAGTAGTGCTACATTGAGTTTGGACATTGGATTAGTGCCATCTGCTGCTCATATTTCCGATGGTCCTCGACCAGACCAACTGCCTGCAAATGCGCAGAGTGAAGAGCAACTGTGGCCGATGGGTTGGCCACAAGAATCCCACTGCCTCAGCATCCCAAGGGTGATTGGCCATACTGTTATCGGTTGGCCAGGAAAACTGAGTTCAAAGCCCGGACCCCAAATGAGCTCCTGCCAGTTGGAAACGAGTTCCTGTAGTTCCCGATACCTTGCGCAGTCCTCGAAGGGGCACAAATCATTTCAAGAGCCAATGCAGTTGGGCAATGAAATACTAGGTTGGAGGCCATCGCTAGTAGCTTCCTTTTGCTTCTAGGTTGGAGGCCATCGCCTTGGGCCCTCACACTCTCCAGCATCGCCGGTGCTACCTTTTTCTGTTGAGTACTGAGCCTTGCGGGCGGCCGAGGCTCGATAGGCTCGATTCGAATCACAGCACAATTAGGTCGAGCAATGCCCACAATTTCTTCGAGTCAAAGACAACACTTTATATATATTTAAATAACAAACAAGATAATAAAATATTTATTAGGTCAATATGTTTGTTACAAATATATTTTAAAAAATAATGTACGGATCGTGAAAGTGGCCCTTACCCCTTTTTCCTCTTGATACGTGCAACAGAACTGACGCCCATGGACGACACGGCTGCATCGCTAAGGTTCCACCTCTTACAGCTTTGATGGGCATCAGTAGCAACAACTGATCTCTTGGCGATCTGATCCTGAGATAACAAATTGGAAGAAACGGACAACAAGAGAAAGGGATTACATAAATATATATATACTGTCAAACACAAGTCACACAATGCTGCAGTTTGCCGCAGTTGCACTTGCCAAGGTTCTTCCACTGTCTTTGAAGTCTCCACCGTTGACAGAAGAAGCCGCTGTCTGCAAGCAGCCACTAGCCCGTTCTCCTCCCAGAGTCTGAGGCTCGACAACTCAATTGACAAGACTTTGCCAATTCACTGCATGCACTCCCGGCCATAGCAACCCGTGTATATATATACATATATATACTTCCGGCCTGACAGGTTTCACGTTGTTCAGCTAGTTCGGTGGACACACGGGCCATGCTGTTCTTCAGGTGCGATTCTCCTTAAGGCCGATTCAGCCCCCACATCTTCAAAAGTAACTATCCTGGCAAGACCCCAAGTGTATAACCGAACTTCCGCACTATAAAGCACACACATCAGAGCAACATGAAAGCATACACATGAATGAAAGCAAGCGCATGAAAGCACACATATGTGAGCAAACACATGTGAGCACACATATGAGAGCACAAACATGAGAGCACAGACATGAGAACACACGTTTGAGAGCGCACCAAAAGAGAGCACATACATGAAAGAGCAGACCGCGCATATGAAAGCACGCATGTATGAACAAACACATGAGAGCACACCTATGAGAGCACACGCACAAAAGCAAACACAAAACAGCACACATGTGAGAGCACTCACGTGAGGGCGCACAAATGAGAGCACACACATGACATACGTGCACTTCAAGGTTCCCAAAGTAATTAGTTGTGCCTGCAGGGGTTTACAAAGCGCTTTTGGGGTGTACAACCGAAAATGTGCGTGGCACCAACGAGAGCAAAGTCGAGTAAAGGACCTGCTCCTGACCACCAGTTTGCACGAGCCTGCGCAGTCGAAATGTGCTTCGAAGATCTCGAGGCATCAATGTTGCCGCAAATAGCATTGCATTGGCCGGACACGCCGGTGAGCACCCTCGATCAAACCCAGCCTTAACACCTATCGTAAGAATCCCTAGTGTGACCACAGTGTAGTGTTTGGGAAATAAAGGTAGGATAAGTACAGTGCTGTAGATTTTTTAGTGGCACTTGAATGCAATTGATTATGTAGCATGTTTCTCCTGACTCCAGACCTCATTGCTGGATTTGCATCCTTTGCCCTCCAAACTCTTGACAAGTCACGTCGGTTCAGTTCCGCATCACGGGATTCCACCTCTTGCAGCTCTTCCTGCAGAGATCCCGAGCTCAAGGTGGTCGAGACAGGGAATCGTTCAACACAAAAGCCAATCAACACCTCCAAACAATACGGCTGGCACAAATGATTCGGAGTGCTCTTCCCTTGCGTCTATATACTGCTTCAAGTGCGTGAACGGCGCAACATATTCATATGCGGCAAGTCTGCATCGGAAAAAAATGAAAGAAACAGCCTAAGCTATAAGCTACGTCACCACCCCGTTTAGATGCCGTTCCAATGCACGACATACAGCTGGAACGGCAGCATCAATGCTGTTTCGCTCGTTCCTCCACCGCGTGAAGCTGGGCCAACAACTCCTCTCGTCGCATGCGAAGACCATCAGCGCGACGAGCTGTGAGAGCCCGCTCGCTGTGCAGCGTCTGGCAGGACACACAAGGACAAGCACCAAGCAAAAATATGGGACGTAGCATGCAACAAACTCCCACCGCCTGTTGACAAATCACATCAAGAACTCAAAGAAAGTGCACAAAGCGACTTTGCCAACCTCCAATTCTGCTGACATAGCAGCCGTGCTGGACCTGAGTTTGGCTGTGTTGAGCCAGCCGCAACCGTATATGTGAGGTGCATATCTGACACATTACAGTATGCATTTCTTGACTGCTCTGGTGTGTTGCACGGGTTGCCAGGCGAGATCTGATCTTCGAAAGTCTTCACTTCCTTCTCGCCTTGCAGGAGTGATGTTGCAACAGAGGGCAAGCCGCAAGAAACTCAAATTGTCAAAAATGAACAAGAATACTGCATGAAAGTCGCAGACTTCCAAGGATAATTCATTGGTTACACAATAAATTGGCTCATGGTTGATCACTTCCCAAAGACTTCCGACTTGATCGGGCCAAGCTCAAAGCCTGTTCTTGCCAAGAGGCAATCTGCAGCAAAGCTGCCCAAGGCTTCAGCCCTCTCTTCAATCTCCACACGCCATGCGGAAATAGTTTCAGCAGCTCCGCAAAGCATTGGCTTTTCCTGGCCTCGGAACTCAAACCCATCACGAAGTGAACAGCTTTCACGAGAAGGCCCAGAGGGCAGTTCATGCTTGGCAAAGCTGTAGGCATGCGAAGATTTTTGTGCCATTGGCATATCGATGGTTGCTTGAAAATCTGACTCTAGTGAGTCAGCTCCCCTCTTAGAGCTTTCAAGGGTTGTTTTACAAACCTTGAGGTTCAGGTCAGCTGGGCACATATGTTCATTGGACTCTCGCCAGCCTGAAAAGAGGCTCTCAGCATCAATGCCTTCAGGCAGCTACTGCATTGTCCTCTCAATTATCCATGAAGCTCCAAGGCTTTAGCTTGTCCAACTCAGGGTCGGCATCCTTCAATTCATTCTTGAACCCCCAGTGGCGCCAATGAGGACGGATATCTCGACCAAGTTCAAGAGACCAAAAACGAACAAATGAACTCACTTGCTGCGAGTAGTCTCTGCGCACATCCCCGTGCTTTGCCTCCTCAGCATAGCGCTTGAAAGTTGCCTTCAAGCCTTCCCAGCCAAACGTTTTAATGACCTGGGCGTAGGTCCGTAGGGCCAAAAACGGATCGTCGTCCCACTTCTCTCGTGGGCACCCTTCCTTGATGAAAGCTGTGGGCACGTCTGTTGAAAAGTCTCGGTGAGGTGTCTCCGTTACCTCACACAGCTGATGAATTCCCCACAAGGTAAACAGGTTTACTGTCACCTCTACTGTTCCTTTGAAGGTCCATGATGAGCGTTGCATGTTGTGTCCCAGCTCATGGAACAAACCCCAGCTGCCTTCCTTTCTCAAACGTGCCACATCTAAAATCCTCGTGATTGGGTAGGTGTCACTGGTGTCGAGCACACCATCAAAGTGAGTCATGATGGGGTATCCAGAGTGCATGTATCCCACAGAAGTCTGGACATCTGGCACAATTCGCTGGGGCCTTGGATCCGTGTGAGGACTCAGCTCATTGTAACAAGCCCAAAGGCGGTCATAAAAGTCTAGTACTCCAGGGATGTCAGCTCCAGCTTCAACTGCCTTGCGCACAGCATGGACTGGGAGGGTCAAAATCACCTTCTGGCCTTCGCAGTCCACCCAACCGCCTGCAAATCGGTTCCGCACAAGAGTCTGAAAAAGCATTGTGAACCACAAAGGCTACGCATTCATCTCTAAAAAGCCTTGAACACTCTAAGAAGTCGTCTTCGTTCAAAACATGAGAGAACAGTTTTGCTTTAACCACAAGGCTAAGGCTTTCAACTCAAAACAGAAAATGAAGGCCGGCGCAGTAAAGCAGGAATAAAAGTTCTGAGATGTCCTGTATATGCATGTGTATATATTTATATTAAATATATATATATATATATATCTGTGTGTGTGTTTGCCCCTTGAAATCATAGGGATCCTGTCGGGCTGTGATGATTCTTCTAGTTTCTCAGCGGGGGGCATGCGGCCATCACGCAAAAGCATGTCAACGAAGCTATGCGCGCTGGTGGAAGCCAGGTCTGATCAACCTGGTGTACCTGCTTGTTTGAACTGTTGTCCAAGCTGTTGCTCCACTTCTTCCTGTAAAGTGCTAGTGAGTTCTGCAAAGGTGCACGGACCGTCGTCCTTGTCGATCGATCGCTTCGCGGCTTTGCACTTTGGAACCTTGACCTTTGGAGGTTTGAACATTTGGAGTTGAGGAGATGTGAACCCTGTTTCCTTAGGTTTTTCACTTAGGCTGGCGTGTGGCACCGCATTCACATCAGTACGCATTTCTATAAGTGTGTCTGGCTTCATGCCAGCTCAGGGTGACCCCGCAGAGTGGCCCCGTGGACCCGTTGAACGGCCGTTTGTCTTTATCTCCCCTGCGCGGAGATGTACGTGCCCAGGGCGGGCGGAGCAGGCTTATGCGAAAGTTATTTGCCAAGACCCCAGACTTGGTGAAGTTTTGAATTCCAAGCTGGCTCATGCCTTTACGTGACCGCAGCGGTCCAAGCTGGCTGAACGCCTCAACGTGGTCAGAGCGACCAAAGTATCTTTTGAGGTTCATTGGAACCTGTCGGATTCTTGGGTGCACACACAGCGCACACACTTTAACTAGGCAGGTCTTCCTAGGTCGTTGTAATGAGGTTTGGTTTCATCGGTTCCCGTCCCCTCCATTTGGTTTCCCCCTTTTTCATCCTTTCCCCCTTCACACACTTCTTTTTCCTCTTTCTTTTCATGCCTTCCCTTGTTTCATGTCCTGTCATCTCACTCCTTTCTTTCTCTTGTGCGCACAATGGTCCGGGTTTGGGGAGGCGTGTGTGTGTGTCCCCCTTGAAATCACAGGGATCCCTTCGGATTGCGATGATTCTTTCAGTTTTTCAGCACGGGGCATGCGGCCATCACGCAAACGCATGCCAACGAAGCTATGCGTGTCTGATCAACCTGGTATACCTGCTTGTCTGAACTGTTGTCCAAGCTGTTACTCCACTTCTTCCTGTAAAGTGCTAGTGGGTTCTGCAGAGGTGCACGGACCGTCGTCCTTGTCGATCGATCGTTTCGCGGTTTTGCACTTTGGAACCTTGACCTTTGGAGGTGTGAACATTTGGAGTTCGGGAGATCTGAACCCTGTTTCCTTAGGTTTTTCACTTAGGCTGGCGTGAGCACGCATTTCTATAAGTGTGTCTGGCTTCATGCCAGCCCAGGGTGACCCCGCCCCTGTGGACCCGTTGAACGGGCGTTTGTCTTTATCTCCCCTGCCCGGAGATGTACGTGCCCAGAGCGGGCGGAGTAGGCTTATACCAAAGATATTTGCCAAGACTTGGTGAAGTATTGAACGACCGCAGCGGTCCAGGCTGGCTTAACGCCTCAACGTGGTCAGAGCGACCAAAGCATCTTTTGAGGTTCATTGGAACCTGTCGGATTCTTGGGTGCACACACAGCGTACACACTTTAACTAGGCAGGTCTTCCTAGGTCGTTGTAATGAGGTTTGGTTTCATCGGTTCCCGTCCCCTCCATTTGGTTTCCCCCTTTTTCATCCTTTCCCCCTTCACACACTTCTTTTTCGTCTGTCTTTTCATGTCTTCCCTTGCTTCATGTCCTGTCATCTCACTCCTTTCTTTCTCTTGCGCGCACAACGGTCCGGGTTGGGGAGGCGTGTGTGCGTGTGTGTGCCCCTTGTAGTCACAGGGATCCCTTCGGATTGCTTTTTCTTTTTCTGCAGGGGGGCTGGTTGTTCATGCAAGTACCAGCCCAACGAAGAGGCTTGCATTGAACACTGATATCGGTGGGGACGCTCACCGACGTACCTGCAATTTTCCTTTTTCCTCTTAGGAAATGGAACCCTAGGCCGGCGTGTGGCACCGCTTTCAGTTCAGTACACCCTATCCTAAGTGTGTGTGCCCCTTGAAATCACAGGGATCCTGTCGGACTGCGACGATTCTTCTAGTTTCTCAGCGGGGGGCATGCGGCCATCACGCAAACGCATGTCAACGAAGCTATGCGCGCTGGTGGAAGCCAGGTCTGATCAACCTGGTGCACCTGCTTGTTTGAGCTGTTGTCCAAGCTGTTACTCCACTTCTTCCTGTAAAGTGCTTGTGAGTTCTGCAGAGGTGCACGGACCGTCGTCCTTGTCGATCGATCGTTTCGCGGTTTTGCACTTTGGAACCTTGACCTTTGGAGGTGTGAACATTTGGAGTTGGGGAGGTCTGAACCCTGTTTCCTTAGGTTTTTCACTTAGGCTGGCGTGTGGCACCGCATTCACATCAGTACGCATTTCTATAAGTGTGTATGCGTTTGTAATTACAGTATCCAAGCGAAACCATCGAGTCCCACACAGGCGCCCGCAGTGTGATCATCTAGGAGGCCACAGGGTAATACCACAATACAGTAATACAGCTGGCTTTATCATGCTTTAGCTACTGTTTTTTACCTGGCATATCGAGAGCCTCAACGTTTTTGACTGGATGTAACCAACACCGAACCACCAGTTCTTGCTAATGAATTAAAATAACATGTTTCAGACCATAACCATGGTGTTCTGTTTCTGCAAAACTGCAGTCGATGAGAAAACCAGCATGCTCTTGAAGGAAAGAGCTTGACCTTGAGACAATGCTCTGCCCTCACAGTGGACCTGCAAACATAGCGCCCCCATCTCTTCTTGCCTGCGCTGGTCAAAATGGCATTGTCCACTCCTTTGGCAATGCTGACCACCGGCTGTTGCAGCAAGTTCCCAGAAAAGGTCGCCCTCAAGGACTGCGAGGCCTTGCTGCTACGCACCAAGTAAACATTTCCGCCAAAGGGTGTTGAGAGAGAGACCATTTTGTTTGGATCTGCAAGTGGCAAAATCAGGCTCACTTGCGGCCACCGCATCCATTCGTCTCTGCAGCTGATGTCGTCAGTGTGGGCACCAACCCTCACTGACCACCCCTCGGTGGGGTTGTCGGTGCAAACGCATACTTTTCCGCCAGGTGGAACATAGAGACCAGTGCCCAGCCACTCAGGATCATGGCTTTCTGCCTTCCAAAGTAAGCGGGAGGAAACCTCAATAGATGTCTCTCCCAAGGATGGCATCTTTTCCTTGAAGGAATGCCAATCCATGCCAGAAATAGCATTTTTCGGGAGTTGAGCACTGCTCTGAGAGGACCTGCACATCTCACAAAAGAGCTGGGCCTGAAGGCGACTCAGGGTGTCTTTCTTGGAGATTGGGAACTTTGGTGCTTCTCCAGCCCAGACTCGAACCATAAGCGCCCATCGAAGGCGTTCGTTGGAGTGTGCAATCCCGATGAGTAGGCCAGCGTTGCTTTCAATCAGCCGCCGAGCTCTGGGGCCCATTGCCCGTGTGCCATCAGAAGCCAATTTTTCCAAAAGATCTATCAAATCTTCAATCCATCCAAGATCACTGACAATGTGCATCTCTTTAGGTGTCGCCCCCAGGTTTGCGCACCAAATGCCGATCGATGTAATTGATGTGGCGCTCCCCTCAGCAAGCTCCAAGGCTAAGAAATGCTCTTGTCCCGCTACTGCCCACCAACCACCACGCCTTGCGACATTCTTAGCCTCTTGAACGTTGGAATCTGCTGCAACGACATCATAAGACACCTCGTGGTCCCCATCGTAGAGCCGCAATCGGTTCACACCAATGTAGTGACTGTTGTGGATGCCTCTGAAGCGCAAAAGGATATGCTTCATTGATTGGTTCCCACTCGGGCCCTTTACATCAAAGAGGTGACATTCATCATCCGACTTTCCACATCCAGCACTTACATGGTGCAAGATGGGCGGTGCCTGGCTAGAAGAGATGTCGATCTCATTTGGCTCCTCTGCAGCACAGATTTCTGGGAAGTGAGAGCGGGCGTCGCAAATCTCAATCTCCAGCGGTGTCGCACCCACATTGGCACACCATAGGCCAACATGAGAGATCTCCGCGACATCGTCGAGCTGTAGTAGCAAAGAATGCTCCTTTCCAGTCACAGCCCACCAGCCCCCACCGCCACAAATAGGTTTTGCGGCATCGGCTGATTCTCTGGACCCGTCTGCCATCAAAACTTTGAAGGACACATCACGCTCATCAGCAAAAAGCTTGACACGATTGATGCCAATGTAGTGACTATCATGTATGCCATGAAATCGCAAGAGCACAAAGCGCGAAGGCTCATGAAGCTGAGCGCTAAATCGCTGACACTTCTCCGCATCTGTCCCACATGGTGATGGGACTGAATGCTTCGCTGGCACAACTGCTGCCATTGGGCCGTCTCGCACGTTGCTTGGTTGACGGGCAATGGCTGCGAGCTTCCAAACAGCAGTTTCTGCGAATTCTGTCAATTCTAGGTCAGATTCTAGGAGATTCTAGGTGCAAAGTAAAAATGACAGCTCGAAATAGTTCAATCTGACACACTCACCAAAAGCTCCATGAAGCAGCTGCCTGCTCTGATTTACACAGGCTCCCCTGGCAACACATATTATAAGTCCCCGGCTCAATTCCTCTGACTGCCCCTCCGATTCCTGGGTTGCAGATTGGTCTTACAAGTCACGAAGGGTTGTAAACGTTTACAGAATGTTGGTTTTCCTGCTGTGTTGGTGCCTTATGACCAATATGATACACGCAGCTCAATCCAAGGATCACTATCGGACTGGCACCGTACACATAGGGTGCCAATGCCAGCCTTGCTCTCAAAAACCCAGCCACGTCCATCCGCAAGCTTGAGGAAAAGGGTGCCATCAGAGCCCTCAAACGTCTCTGATACCCTGAACACCTCGCCCGCAACCAAACGCTCGTTTGTCCTGAACGGGCGGTCCCAAAGTTCCAGAAACAACTCTGAAAAGATACAAAGGCCGTGCCTGCCACCTGCAATTGCGGGAATTGATCGAATATCAATGTGGCACCCGTCATCCGGGACATAGCGCCACATAGACGTTTCTTCAGTCGTCGCATCCTCTCCACAAGTGCCCCAATCAATGTGGAAGTCCAATTGCTTCCCTGAAAACTTCGGACGAATTTCAGACTTCTGACGAGCAATTTCATGAAGACTTCTGCCAGCTCACGAACAAAGCACAGTTCCACGCCTACACGACGCAGTTCCTGGAAGTTTCTGCTGTGAGACTCAACCTTCCGCAGGGCCTGTGTCCAACAGTTCTCGGCTGGCACCTTACCGAGTGGAAACTGCAGTGTCAACGTGTTCACTGTGCACGTTTTTTTGTGAGTGGATTATCTTGCGTTGCCGTTATCCTTCTTTATCCTTCTTGTTTTCTTTCAAGGCAGTGGTCGGCCGTGAAGGGGGAGGTAGGAAGTCAGTAAGGTTAGTAGTAGAGAGGAAGCTACTTGCACGGACGCAGAACGGCTCAGACTCCTAGATGCTTAACAAAGAGAAGAAATCAAGCTAAGAAAAGAGGTGGTGGATTTGGGCCAAGTCCACCTTTGCTTCTCTTTGTTTCTTTTTTCAAAATTTAGCTTTGAAAAGCAGAGGTGCCTGGGTCAATTCAGCTGGAGGTGGCCGCCGAATACTGGCATCTACCCGAATTAGCGAAGAGCTGCTCAGCTCGCTGAAGAGCTCAGCATCAAGGTCAGAAATCTCCACCTCGGAATTTTCGAGGCTCCCCTTAAATAAATAATTGCATCTTGACTGTTCCGCGGCACGTTTATGCACATCAATGAACTGCAGTGACATGAGTGTTGTCCATTTATCTGTATGTCAAAACAGCATCCAAGCCAATAAGATCAAACTGCCACTGCCACATCCGAGGAACGCAGTCATGGCTGTCCTCCTTCAAAGGAGCACACCACGCGACTTTCACGCGGTCCCGGGGCGCAAAGCCTAGCACCTTCGCACGGTACCAGTGACCATCCACAGGCCAGCAAGCCCAAACGTCGCCACCTCAAAGTGTCTTGGACTTTCTGTTGATGAAAGCAACCTGCCGAAGTACCTGTATTGATGTTCCCTTTCAAGGTGCCTATGTCTGGTCGGCCACCTCCAGCAAAAGGCGCAGCTTTGCTAGCAGTTCCATGATGCTGTGGTGTGGCTGGCTTTCCCTTACAAGCTTCAGATGCCTGACAAGTGGCGGGAGAGAGAGGACGATCCAAAGGGCATTGGCAACTCAACAGTTTCAAAAGCGCCTTTGAGTGGTTGTCTAGCGCCGTTCGCAAGGCTTCACTCAGTCGCTTGGAGGCCAATGTGTCAGCCTCATGCTTCCTGACATAAAGGAGCCGCAGCATTGACACATCCTACCCTCGCTACTCTAGCACGTCGCTCTGCATTCCGATGCTAAGTGTTCTTCTTGATTGTCATGATGCTGGGGCCAAGTTGCTCCGCCAGTGTTGCCAGTACGAGGTTCACCACCCAGCCTACATCCTGTCAAACAAACGTTGCAAAAGTCGACAGTCCAAGGATCTCCGGATCCCCTGTTACTCCAAGCTCCGGAGCTCTCGCCTCCTCTGCTGGATTTTTCTCCTCTGCCATAGCTCCACCACATCTGTCTGCTGCCTCCGCAGCTTCAGCCAGTAAGGCCAGCAATTGGGCCACCAAGGCCTGCCGTGATCTTCTCCGGTTGTCTCCCCACTGGAGAAAGCCTACATATCAGTCTTTTGGGTTGGTTAGATTGCTCCGGGAACGTCAGGCTCAAAAGGCTCGGGCTCGGCAGCCGGGCATGGAAGACGTGAAAGAACTGACAACTAGTAGCTTCTTGTTCCTAGCAGTAAGGCCAGTAGCTCGTTCCTAGTGGCTTCTCGTTCCTAGTGTCAAAAGACCACCTTCGATTCCTCGATAGAATGCAGGAATCAAGCTGTAGGCCTCCGGAGCCTCTGACGCTTGAAGCATCACATGCGCCAGTTGCTCTCCAATGACGGCTTCAGATTGGCCATGGTTGGAGTCCCCAGGCTTCAATTCGATCTGCAATGTAGCAGCGGCGTAGCATTCTTGCAAAATTCTAAGTATATATCTATCTATCTATCTATCTATCTATCTATCTATCTATCTATCTACATATATTTTTGTCCCTAAGAATGCTATACATTTATAAAGGGTCTATGAAACAAGCACAACTGCCTCTTTAAAGCTTGATGATATGAGTTGAACCGTTGAACCCTGACACCCGAGTTAGTCACTACTCTAGAATCTAGAAAGCACGACGTGTCAAGCTTCCTCCGTAGAGCTTTGTGCACGATGCCGAGGTGATCCTTCCACGCACATGTCTGCAGCAACAGCAGCTGCACGCCCCAAGACTGGCCGACGCCGCCTTCCTGTCATGACATGGGTATGCTGTCTGACACGAGAATCATGATAGAATCGGTATGGAACTTGTTTTCCGGACCTGAGGTTAGGGTTCGGAGGACGGTGTGAAGGCATTCCGTATGCAGTAGCCCACGCAAACCTGGCGCTGCAAGGCGGTGGCCATCGTTGTCCTCAGCAAGGCGGGCATCTGCCAAAGCAGCGTGGACATGCAACCGCTCCCGGCCGGACGAAAATGAAGCCAAGCCTCAAAGTCGCTTTGCAGCCTCTGGTTCCATACTGATAGGGTCTGGGCAGCTGCCGCTGCCTGTGAGTCATTCCCGTCATCTTCAAAGCCTGGCCACAAAAGCGTCTGAAGTCTGGAATTGTTTATATACAAATTTCACTACCTTTGCTCCCCTCTGTTTCTCTCTCTCTCTCTCTCTCTCTGTTTCTCCCAAGGTCAGAACCGTGCTTGAAGGAGTCCAGCTCATGTGTGTATAGGCTGATCAAGTCGTTGGACTGTAGATCTGCCTTTGGTGCCAAAACCGAATCAGCTATCCGATTCTGCCGTGGGATAGCCAAGTTGCTCGATGATTCCACGCACCGAGTGTTGCTGCAAAGCCCGTCCGCACGCTTTGAAGTCCTAGTGGCAAAGGGCATCGCTACTAGGAACAAAGGGCATCGCTACTAGGAGCAAGGACGCTACTAGTAGCTCCTGGCCTTACTACTAGGAACAAGAAGCTACTATATAGTTATTCTTCTTTCATGAAAGACTGAACGATCTGCGATTGCATATGTGCCACTCGTTCACGTCAATGGATGAGAAAGAATCTTGGGTTAGACTCATCCAAGTTCTTGAGCTTTTCAACGCTAACCCTCCAACTTGTTGATCTTGCCTTCATCAGCCTCTGAGGCTAAACGCTGCACTGACTGCTGCACCTGAAATTGGCATAGACTGAGCCCCAAAGCGTGAGGAATCTGATTGTGCGATGCTCTGTGTCTGAATCTGTGGGCCTCCTCTGCGTGTGCGCGTGTGAAATGGCATGCCGCTACTATTTAATAACTGCTAGCTGTTACTAGACTGCGCGGTCCATAGATGGAGAAGGCTCCATCTGCCAAGAGTGACATCCATGTTTACGCACAGTCCAACGCATGGTCTCTGTTGTCTCCCGGAGAAACTGGCAAAATGACAATGGAGCTTCGAAAGGCACCCGCTGGTTTTCCCGTGTTTTCCCCAAATTGCTTCCAAGCCAAGACTTGGCCTGAGTGAGAACTCTGCTGTGTGCGGAGTCAATAGCTGGAAAAAGGTTATAAGTTTGACAAATATTACCACATAATTTGGCAGTGCGCAAGCGCCATGACTGTTTTTTACTTGTTCATCTGGTCACAATCTCTTTTCCAAAACCGACCGAGGGTTGTTCGAGCCAACACGTGGGTTCACAAACTCGTCCGTGGATGAAGCTCGCCATTGCAAGACAGGGTCTTTCGTTATTCAGCTCCAGGGGGCTTGGGGATGGCATGAAGAAAGTGCACTTGAGCGCTCAAAAGAGGACAGTATACATGTGCTGCTCTCGCACCTAAGACCTGCTATTGCACTGCGTTGGGGAGGTAAGCTCCCTTTGCGCATCTGGGTGCGTTGACAGACTGACGAACGCACACATTCACAAGTCACGGTGTTAAAGGTTCTTGCGTGTCTTGGCAAGTGAAGTGCTTCGTCGCTTCAGCACTGTCCAGTCAGAACCACTCTGAGCACCTGCTCTGCCGCGCTCTCCGCGCTGGCGCGCAGGACCGCTTGGCCATGCTCAAACAAGGCGCCCAAACCTCACAATATGTGAAAATGGTCGAGCCGCCATCAAGCTCAGACTCAGCTATTGGAAGGACTGTGAAACCGTCTTGGAGTGAGACGCAGCCATGTTGTCCAAACAGGTCATAAGGAACAGTAAAATAAACTCTGCAGGCCGCCAAACCGCTCTCAACACCTGCAGCCCAGGTGCCCACATCATCTGAGATGAACTTATCTTCAGATTTACCTGCCAGTGGTTCGATGTGCCGCCGTATTTCCTGCACCAATTCTGTGCAATGGTTATGTCAATGTCGCCTACAGTGCAATGAATTAATGAAGGCAATGAAAACATGTCTGCATATGTCTGTAAGCCTTGGTCTGCATGTGTCTGTGTCCTCAGCAGAGGTCGTGAGCCATGACGTCATGGCCGAGGCACAGGCTACAGCCCTGACTGCGTTTTGAGCCAAGGAAGGATCAGTGGCAAGGAGCATCAGCACGCACCCAGCACCAGTCTCCAAAGGAATCAAAGGATTAGCTCAGTTGCTCCGCAATACTGATGCCAATCCACCCCCCAAATAAAAACAATCAAAACTAAGCCTTCGTTGAACCTCCTGCTGCTATAGTTTGAAAGGTCACCGATCCCATATGCGATGGTCGCATGGAAAAGTTAGTCGTGGGCCCTTCCCATAAAGTGATTCGTCTTGGGAAACATCCTGATTATATATTCAGATGTTTTCATGGTTTTTCCTTTGGTGACTTTGTCCATGCAACATCTATGTTACACATACATGGTTTGAAGTGTTGACCTCTGACACATCCGATGCATTGGCTCAAGAAGGGCTCAGACTGTCGCAACACCCTCGAGGCCCCGACAAAGCCATTTCCCTGGTTCTGGAGGCAACCCTCTTTGTACAGAAAGTCCAGGACGTGCTGCGAAGGGTTTGGGAGCGGGCAGTTGATGCTTCGGCAAGTCCTAATTAGTTCTTCCTCTTCCGGTCTACATTCTTCCTAAAGTAGTAGTAGTAGTAGTAGTCGTAGTCGTAGTAGTCGTAGTGGTAGTGGTAGTGGTAGTGGTAGTGGTAGTGGTAGTTCTACGCAGTGGTTGAGGCATTTGCTGTCATCTGCAAGCTTCACCGCCCCTCAGTTGCCAGGGGCAATTTGGTCGATGTGAGTGCAGACTCTTTTTGCCACCTTTCGTGCTCATCAACTCTGGCCCTTCGTTCTTCTCATGACGGTCATGTCTTCATGGCATGAGATCTGTGGTCCTTCACGTTGGTGACTGAGAACGGGCGATCAGAAGACCTCTTTCGTCAGCTTCCAGAAGGATATTCTCAAATGCCGTCAGAACTCTGGGACTGGAAGCTTTTCATGTTCTTGGCTGTCGCTTCTTGGGCACCTTGAGCTGCCCCCTCACTTTTTTGACTTTTGCGCGCTTCTTCGCCACCGGCTTCACATCTTCACCAAGCTTTTGGGATTGTAAATGGTCTTGTTGCGCGTGGAACTTCAGGAACTTCCCCTGCACCCGGCTGATCTAACTTTATTCCACAAGATTCCACACCTGACGAATGAGAAAAAAAGGTCTTACATTGTTACCAATTTGTGCAGTACCTGTGAACAGGGCAAAATTTGAGAACTCAGAATTTCCAGGAACTTCTGTATGAAGGCTTTCTAGTCTCACTACCGGCCTCCTTCAAAGCCGTCCGTCCTTTCTGTTTGGTAGAATGGCCTCGCCCTCGGGCCCTTAACGAGGGCGGCTCCTGAGACGGCCCAAGTCTTCGCAGCAAGCTCCCTGCCACTATTTGATTGCGCTCATGGGAATCCGGGATGCCCTGCTTTTCATGTCAAGTTGTTCAGAATGCTAAACAATTCATTCAACTCCTCTGAGTCAGACTGTGGTGCCAGTCCGCGGCCACGACCAGCTCCAAGTCCACGTCCGCGTCCTCGACCAGCACCAGAAGTTTGCACCCTCCGTCGCTTCTTGGTCTTGCCGGAATGACGCTTTCCGTTGACAATCTCAAGCCTTGGCCTGAGTATTGCCAAGCCAAGAACCACATCATTGAGGCAACCGCAGCAGTTTTCATGTCCAAGAAGGGTGCTAAGAGTTTTCTTGATTTGCCGAGCAGCAGGGTAGACAGGATCTTGTGTATCTCGTCTGGCATTTCTTCCTCTCCTGTGTTTGTCGTTCTCGCTCGCTCTCTCTCCCTCTCTCTGTCTCTCTCTCTCTCTCTCTCTTTCTCTCTCTCTGCCTCTCTCTCTACGTCAAGGTGTCCAGGATTGAGGGGAGACCTGGCCTTCACACATGAATTATATATTTTCTAAACTATATAATTGTTTAGGGTGTATTCATTCTAAGTTAACATGCCGCATCGTTTTCCAGCGTTTGGCACATGGACACTGTAGCTTTTTGCGGGGTTTTTTGGACATCCCGCATCATCCCGTCTCGTTTTCTGAACAATCACAGGCGTGGAGTGGATGAAACGCCCTTCTATATCTCCTATGAAGTATATGGTGTTAATTTATGAAAGCGACTCACATGCCCGATGGGCAAGCTGGCCTGCTGCAGGGTTTCCTCGAACATTTACATTCGTCAGCCACAGCAATCCTGCAACGAATCGAGCGGGTCCTTGGCGCAGCCTAAGACTTGCCACACGGCTGACATGTTCCGAACACAAATGATGAGCGGCAATGAAACGGCTTGCCGCATCTTGCAGAATGAAACGTGACTCACAATGGCTTGAGCGGGGGATAAGTGGACGAAAGGCAGATAGGCAAGGGGGGTGTACAACTTTTGAGGGCGAAAGCCACTGGAAACAGGCTAGTCAAGGGGAGTTTTGCGGGGGGCAAGCAAAACGGTAAATATCATAAATCTTGACCGTCGCGCTCAGCAGAACGGCAAGCAGCAAACATCATCCAATTAGGATGAGGCTCTTCGACTCAAAGAACTCACCAAGAAAAAGCAGACCACAAGGATTTGGTCTGGGGGAGGGCCAAAGAAAGTGAAAAAGTCAATCTTAAATCACGATACGCGGGGCAACGTGTCCCATTCCAATACATGTTTGATGTCAACTGGGGTAGCTAGCTGAGGCTGCTTTTCATGGCGGAAAAGTCATTCAAGCTTCAAGTGTGCTGTCCTTCCAGTGCCTTAAAGCCATTGGCCTGGTTGATGAGATTCTTCCCCACATCCAAGGTAGTCAAATGCGGAAAGGTAGTCGCCTCAGCTGCAAGATCGGAGGAAGCACTGCGGAAGCACAAAGCTAAAAAAGGCAAATCATCGGAATCAAACTCAGCTTCGTGTTCTGCAGCTGAAACCTGTGCTATCAAGGCACGAGGGCAGGAATGGTGGTGATGTGATTTCCATTCAACCGCAGCTCAGCTAATGCAGGGAGCTTCTGGAGCTTTGGAAAGCCATGAAGACGGTTGTGAGCCAAAGACAGCTTCTTCAAGTGCTTGAAGCCTCGACAATCTCGATCATGCGTCGTGCACACATCGCAGCAATGCAGCAAGACAATTTTATAAATGTTGTTTGGGCAAGTGAAAGGCCTTCCCATATCACCTCCCTGCCTGTGAGAGAGAATGACTCCAAGTGGTTGTGTGACAAAACGACCGTCTCCAGCATTGGATTTTTTTTTGGTGTTAATCCTTCCAAGATTGCGATCTCATTCCGTGCAGCAATCAAGGCTTTCAAGCTTGGAAGGCCATGAAGACCATCCAGCCTCAGGATGGCTATATATATATATATATACTTGTTATAGCTAACTTCGACAGGCAACTGTGCTGACCTAAAACAGATGCGTCTATGTTGTTGATTGGGGCACCTGGACATCTTGTTGTCACTCACGTCCAGGACAGCCAATGACGACAGATTCTGCAGATGACTGACCCGTTGTAGCCGATTCTTTGCCACACCGAGCCAACAAAGACCGTGGTTCATCTCCAAGAAACCTCACTACCGCTGCAAATACAAGAGCCAACTCTAAATGCTACAACTCATGCATGTCGTCTTGGGTTTTATCAAGATTATCTAGGATTGGCGGCCTGCAAACCATGCTCTATGTTTAACGCTTCCAAGACCAGGCACTGAGTGACGCAATCTGATTGCCCTTCAGCTCCAACTTCTTCAGATTCTTAAAGGGCTCTAGGCTATCTAAAGATGTGAGCCCCCTGTCCTGGAGCAGCAGCTCCTCGGGTGTGACCGTGGAACTGGCAAGAACGAAGTCGCATGTTCCTTGATACATATGCGATGCAGGAAAGCAGCAGCAGCCGCTTGAGCATCACCATTTGGTACTTCTGTAAGCCTCCCAGGCTGGAAAGACAAATGGAGAAAGCTGCAAAGCGAAAGTCTGATGCACAAATAAAGTCAGCTGTTGGTTGGTTCAATTGAAATTTAAAACACTCAAAACAAAGGCCAACTTGGTGATTGCGTGGTGGTTCAAGACCAGACTGCCCAAGCCCAAATGCAATGGAGCAGCGCATCAGTGAAGCGCAAGTGTCTGCCCTGACCGGAACTTGGGAATTCTTTCTCCCTCTTCTCCTTTACCAAAGTTCCGGTTTGAAACTGTGAACTTTGGTTTCAGAATTCTCTCTCTCTCTCTCTCCTCTATTCTGCTCTCTCTCTCTCTCTCTCTCTCTCTCTCCGCGTCTCTCTCCATTGCCCTCATGCTGCAGGGGAGAAAATTGCATATCATGCACTCCTTGGGACGAGTGAATGCACAAAAACAAGAAAATGCGCAAAGGGAGGTCAGGGACGCCTCGACTGCCTCTTCCGAGCCATCAGACTCCATCTTCGCTGTCTGCCTATCACCTCATTGGCATTCTGCTCCTTTAAAAAAATATGTCTGACCCTTCGAGACTCCTCGAATAGACAGTCCTAGCTTCTTGCTGTAGTAGTACGGCAGGAGCCCCTAGTAGCGTTCTTGCTCCTAGTAGCGATGCCAGGAGCCCTTAGTGGCGTTCTTGTTACTGTCTTCAAACGCGCATGCTTTCAAGAAGCTTCTTGAGCAAAAACTTTCCGTGGCGTGAATGCGCTTGAATATTCGATCACGTTGCCGTGTTGTGTGCACTGCTCTGTTTTGCAACGGCATTGAAGTTAATGGACGAAATCTAGCAATCTTGCGGAATCTTGATGCCGCAATGTCAGGATGCCTCCCTTGAAATGAAAAACGGGTGGCCTTTGAGGAGCCGCAGCGCTGCCCAAGCGCCAAGGTCGGCACTCTGGTGAAGTCAGCGCGCAACCAAAAGAGCAAATATTAATCACTTCCACTTGAATTCCAGCCTAGCAGTCTAAAAAGATGCGGAGAGCAGGAGCCGAGGGCACAAGAGTCACAAGTCAACCGAATGAATCAACAATCTTTGCTTCGAGTAATTGAATGCGTCAGTCGTGACTTGCTGAATGATATTACAACGCCCTCTCAGCTTAAGCTGCTAGCCTGCTAGTCGGAAATCGCTCGCAAACAATTGAAGCACATCTAAATCTAACAAAACACAGAAAGCAGAAAGCACAACAATTGATGGAAACCTGCGGACCATTGAGAGCGATTGAACATGGGTGAAAAGAGACAAACTAAAAAACAGCACTCCGCCACTACAGCTCGTGCCCGAGAAAGGACGCCAGCAGTCTCAGAGTCTTAATTCTCACCTGTTTGGGGAAGCGCTTCAGCCGGTTCACGACCTCAACATCCAAAGCATCCAGCAGGAGCACAATCAAAAGCGTGACTGGTAGATGAAGTGTTTGCTCACTCATTGTTTGCCATAATGCACAAGCGAAGAATCCACACTCAAACGTCCTGCATGACCATTGTCCATCATCATCATCATCATCATCATCATCATCATCATCATCATCATCA